ATGCAACTGAAACATAGCTTAGTTTTTAAGGTTTACTCTACAAGAAAAAAAATCAAGCAAAGTATTCATAAAGGCGATGCTTCAAAAAGTATCCCCAACATGGGAACACATGAACAAATAATCATAAATGGATAGAGTATTCACAAAGGTAGGCTTCTAAACCCATTTTTTGAATACATTATCTCATATGTGAATGTGTATTACATGATTGTATGTTTAAGAAAAATTCGGCAGCATTTCCCCTTAGCTCCCAAGTATATATATATATATATATATATATATATATATATATATATATATATATATACCCAAGGAGCAAAGAGAAAATGACAACCAAATCTTTCTTAAACAAACAATCATGTAATACATGATCATATCCTAAAGGAGATAAAGAATTCAAAAAGCAGTCACAAAATGGGGACAACTTGAAATTAATTTCTAAATCAATTTCAGATAGATATTTCTAGGCTCTTGATGATTATGAAGAAGAAACTTAAACTAAAATCAATGATTCAATGTCTTTTAATAAGAAAATCATATTATACGGTACATTATTTAAACCATAATTTTAAAAGTATGATGTTATGATAGAAAATAAACAAAAGCATAATGCTATAATTGTTAATTATAACATCATACTTTCGTTTATTTTCTATTATAACATCGTACTTTTAATATTATATTACATAATATTATGGTTTAAAAAATATACCGTTTATTTGATTTTATATTTAATTTAATTTTGATTTTATAATTAATTTAATTTGATTTTATAATTTATTGTATTATATTTTAATATTAATATTAATTTGATATTATTATTAATTTAATTTGAATTTATAATTAATTTAGTTTGATTTTAAAATTAACTTAATTTGATTTTCTAATTAATTTAATATTTTCTTTTTTGTTATGAGTTTAATTTTTTAAATTAATTTAATATGATTTTATAATTATTTTACTTTTCTTTTAATATTAATATTAACTTTATTTTATACGTAATTTAGAGTTACTAAAAATACGTTGCTATTAATAACCTAATTAAACTAAAGTTGTAATGACCAACATTAAGTCACTAACAAAATTAAGCACTTTGAAACCATATTAACAAGAAAATAAAAACACAATAAACATCTAATACAATCATACATGTAAATATAAACACTTCAACTTATCAAACACTTTAACTTAGCAATTAAGCAGTTTACAATACAAACAATAGCGGCTAAATACAATAACTATAACTTATCAATGAAGAACTTTATCACTTCATCTTATATACACAAAACCATTAAACCTAAATATTACATAATCATACATGTATACAATACATTCAATTCCAATTTTAATTTCATTTTAGACATACAATACAACTTTCATATTCCAATTTCAAACAATTAAGCATACAATACATCCAATTCAAATTCCAATTTCAAACAATTAAGCAATACATCCAATTTCATACAATCAGCCCTTACAACACCTACCATTTTAGACATCCAGTTTCAATTTCATACAAATGTATACATCTAGATACAAAATCAAACAAACCATATCTAATTCCATTTTCATGCCAATACACCACAGAGAACATAAACACAAATCAATTATACAATAGGTTGCATAAATATGAGAAAACATATAGAATCACTCAAAATGTATAAACACTTTCATACCTCAAAATTCATATATAATCACTCAATCAAACAAAATCTTAGAAAACATATAAATCAATGATATAACAGCTTTCAATACTAAAACTAACATCAAAACAGAAGAAGAATAGAAATTAGGGAAAAAATTCGACCATAGATTGTCAAATTTTTCCGAAATTTAGTTGTGTCGCCCTCTTGGTCGTTGGACACAGATAATGGAGGTCTGGTTGGCAGCAAGTGTTGTGCGCAGCAGCCGACACTCGTTGATCGGAATCGGCAGGGAGCGGCTGGGAGGATTGTGAGAGAAGAGGCAAACAATACAAGAAAGAATGAAGACGGGGTGTTATCTATAAAGAGGTATTAGCGGCAACGCCTAGTTATTAGCCGCAACAAAATAGGTATTAGCAACGACACCCCTGGAGGGAAAATTAACGCATTTTTTAGGCCTTTACAATCGTTGGATGGAATATATATCGAACGGACATGACTCATTTGACGTGGTTCACTACTATGTAGGCATTGGCGGCGACATAAGACACTAGCGACAACATATAACACGTCAATTACATGTCGCCGCTAATGCCCATATTTTTTGTGGTGCGTCTCTACCAAGTGAACCAACAACATATGAAAATCCGTCTCTTTCAACCCTCTCAACCTCTACAACTAAGTTTTTTAAATAAACATTTAGTAAATTAAATCAATAAAACTAAAAACAAAAATAACATTTCATTAAAAAAATTAAACTGCTGCATATCTTTTTCCTATTGTTTTTCCTTGTCAAGCGTAACTCCTCCTCATACCCTATACGGAACGAAAGTTGGCGAATCGCCAGGCCCTCCAATGGCTAGAGGCCCATTTCGGTTAGCATCGTATTACTTAACGAAGAAGTAACAAAGGAATCAAAAATAGCAGGAAGATAGGGGATTAGATTTTGCCGTTTTAGAGTTAACGAGGAGACGATTTCTCTGCCAGACTTCTCACACAACAATTATTTTTTCTTCCTCACGCCACCCTCAAGCAGACAACATCTCTAAAAATCTCGTGACGCTAAATTCTCTGAACCCCCTTTTCACTATCAAAGCGTCTTTCTCTTTTTCTCCCTTTCTAACAGTTATGACTCTGAACCCTACAACATCAAAGTCACGATTCAAGATCAGGATTTGGCATTTAGCGAATTGTAGTCCCCATTTCTCAATTAACAAGTTTAGGGAATCTGAGATTTGGTTATAACTTTGTAAGTTTATTTTCTCTTAGTTCTTGTTGACGTTTGTTGCTTACTGATTTCTAGTTTTCTACTATAAATTTGTGATAACTTATCGAGTGGCCCTCATTGTGATATTTTCCTATACAATTGCTCTGTTAATAGAGTTAGAACATATAGCTGCCACAAAACAAAAGGAAAAGTTTACAATTAAAACTTTATATTTTAGAATTTTGGAATGTTGGAATTAGGTATTGGGAATGGAAGGTGGATATTGTAGGAAGAGACTAAAACCGGAAAGATCTTGAGATATTCGAAAGTGGTTATACTAACATTGCATCATAAGTGAACTAAATTCGTGTTGATATAGTGGATATTAGGCCATACTGTATACAACCCATGAACTGGTCCATGGTTGAGGTGGCAACGAACCACGGTCGTGCATACCAGCCTAGCCGGTCATGGTTGCTTCGTTTCGTGGTGATTCGTGGTGGCCATCACGATTCTAAACGGCCAATGAAAATCGATTGTGAGTAACGGCTCAATATTAAGTATGTAACGTTCATATATATATATATATATATATATATATATATATATATATATATATATATATATATATATATATATATATGGTTAGGTTATTTTGTTTTTACTAACTATTGTGTGTCAGAATGCACAAATCTGGACCAACGGATGGAATTCATCAATGGATATGATTTGAAAGTGTATGATATTACAATAGGATAGCATGTACCATATAATCATACAAATTTTAGCAAAAGAGTATTTTGGACAATTAACTACAATTATAAAAGGAAATTTTCGGATATTTATGGATAATTAATTCTCCTAATTTTAAAAATATGAATTTTTTTAATTAATTCAATTTTAATTCTAACATAATTTGTAAACATAACCAATTTTATTCTGTCATAATATTTTTTTTATTTAGAATGATGCTCTTTCAGAATTTTATTCTATTAGAATATTAATGAAGAATAACAAAGTTCTTGAATCCGATGTTGAAAAATAACAACATTCTAATATATTCTTATACATCCAAATATAAATACAAATTCATACATATTCTTACACACTAAAAGTCTTATATATTTTAATATAATTATACATATTCTAAAAGAATATTAACAAAAATGAATAAAATTTTTAAAAAATAACAACATTATTAAAATCTGAGTATGATCAAACTTTATTCATTCTTCAAGTTATTTCTATTAGATCTTCAACACATTCTTCCAATCATTCCTATCACAAATACAATAAAAACTAATAATGGTTAAAAACATGTTGCTTGCAATTAACTATCACTTTATATATTCTAGTAGAATAGATAGAATACCTAGAATACATTAAAAAGGATACATTATATATTCTGGCAGAATATATTCTGATAGAATATCCAGAATATATTCTTACAGAATACATTAAAAAGGATCGTATTTACTGCTAATATAATTTTAGATTCCAAATACACAATAACAAAGGGAGAGTAGAAATTGGAATTCAAAATCACAAATTGAACCAAAATAATACACAAACAAATTACTTACCTTTTTAAACAATTTTCTAGAACAAGATGAGTAGCTTTCACCGATCTATATTGGCATATGATATTAAGCATTTACTATGTTGGTATATGAAATCAAACAAAATTAATTCAATTGTTTATCCATGTGCAATGATGATCCTAAACAAAATTTAAAGAATGAGAAGATAACATGATGAAAAAAAATATTTGACTTTTTAGGTCAAAACATAGATTATGTTATTATGATTTCAATCTTTCATACCCACCATTTTTAAGACACACCTTCGACAAACTCGACAATGGTGTGCTCTTGGAGGCTTGTATGTAGGACATTTGTCGCATCTTTTTTTAAGTGCTTCCTGAAATATGCATCGTATTTATCAAGAAAAATATATAAGTGATTTCAAGTGTAAACAATATGAAATCGATATGAAGTATTTATTTTGTTGAATTCCTTGTGATTTTGATTAGATAGAAAGTATTCTAACAAGTATTCTACAACAATAAAACTAATTGGGATATTTCAATGTATTCATATATGACTCGTTATCTTGAACAAAGTTTTTAACCTTGATCATCACCCTTTGGGTCAATTTAAACACAAATAATCACCAAATTCAATTAACATAAGTTGTTCTAAAGAGAGAACTGATATGGGTCTGATCAAAATATGTATGAAAAATTCGAAGGGATATGAATAAAACGTGAATCTTACAGTGTCTCTTGATTCTTGATCTGAGTCATCATTGTCCACAATATCAGGGAAATACCCAGATGGGATACCACCAGGATCAATGAGAACGGAGACGAAAAACGAGAAAAGAGTGAACGATGCCAACGAAGTGAAGATCACGGTGTTTATCCAACCTGTTGGGCTCTGTAACCCTAACCAATCATCAAGAAATACAAAAACCATACCATAATAGACCATTTCCATTAGTACCAAAACTGCTAGAATAGGGAACGATACAGATCTTCGCCTTTTCATCTCGCTTGATTGCTTGATTTTGGGGAAGATTAGAGGGTTGAGTCGGAATGGGTTTTCGATCGAAGGCCCAGGAAAGTGAGTGACGCGAATTCCATTTCCAGTCAATATGCCATTTGCATGTTGAAAAGAAAGATGAAATTTTGTAATCGGGTAGTTGAGGAGGAAGATAGATGCGCCGATTGAAATCAATTTAGGGCTAATGTTCTATATTTATCTTTGCTTCTTGCGTGATATAAGGAATTGTTGTTAATCTACCATAATTATCTATGTAAAGATTACTATAATACCCTTAAATGATTTATTTAATGATTTATTTTTTCTTAATTTCCTATTGGTGGATTCATGCACACAATAGTAGCTAAAAACATTTGAACCTAACTCTCTATCTCTCTCTCTCTCTCTCTCTCTCTCTCTCTCTATATATATATATATATATATATATATATATATATATATATATATATATATAAACTTGTACCTTTCAAACACCATTAAACATCTTCTATAAATACCACAATTTTTCTTTCATTTTACTCACACAATTCCTCTCTCATTTTATTCACAGTTAAACACTTGTTTTGCTTGATAATTCAAAACCAATGGCTACTAAAATGATGAATTGGTCAGAAAATGGAGAAGAGAATTTAGCACTATATGGGTGGCGGTTTCAGAAGACCCAGATGCTATAATGCCTCCTAATTTTTGGGTAAAGGTTGGAAACATTTTCCATGATTTAATGGTTGCCGAAGTCATAGTCTTGATGAAATATGTTTGAAGTTTCACGATATGAGGGTTGTCTTGTGTTCAATGGAATTTATAACTTTGTCAAAAATAATTTACACGAAGGCAAGCCGTTTGCTATGATCATGCACCAATATGAAGACACGAAGCAAACTATGTTTAAACACGTCAAAGTTTGGCTAAGATTGAGGAAATGCCCAAAATTCAGTCATTAAAAATAATAAGGTTTAAAAATTAGTTTAAGTTGTTTGTGGTTGCATTTTTATTTTTTATTTTTTATTTTATTTTGCGTGTTTTAAATTAATGTAATGTTTGTTTAAAAAATATATCTTTTATTGTGTTTTTTTTAATGTAATGTGATATTTTAATTTAATGAAAAACTTGTATTTAAAAAAATATGATTTTAAGATATTTTTGAATTAAATTTAATTGAAAAAACTGAGGTGGAAATATGTATTTAGTAGTAGGTATCCCATGGTTAGTGGTAGGAAGTGTCGTGATGATGTGGCATTCACTACTATAGTGGTTAGTGGTGATATAGCGGATGGCCTAAGCAATAATTTGGGGTTTTGCTTTTGTGAATGGAATATCAAATACGGTGAATCTTGTAAATAGTAAATCACTTGCGCTTTATTTTCAATGGTTTCTTCATTGACTTGAACCTGTTTTTTGGATTTTTCACGACTATAATTCATTTGAAATGGAATATAAATTGTTGGAATGTAATCGGAGAAACTTCAATAGAATTGGAGAAAATGTGTGGTTTTTGAAGAGGTTGAGTGTGGTGTGTGTGTGTCTATATATATATATATATATATATATATATATATATATATATATATATATATATATATATATATATATATATATATATATATATATATATATATAGTAAATGCTAAGTTTTATAGGTTATAGTTAAACACATGAGGCGAAATAACGTATCCAATAAGTTCACATGCAACCTATGGATCTGATTTTTCTCTATTGATAGTTGTAATCTATGAACATCAAAAACCATATGGATACCCTACTATAATCGAAATTAATAATGTACTAGGGTTTACATACCATTTGATTATTATAGAAAATAACCAAACCAATTCATTCACTACAAATAAAATGACGTTTTGTGACATACAAAAAAAATATCACTAAAAACCGAAAAAGTACCACTAAAACCCTCCTCGAGAATCAATAACACAAAAAAATGCCCCTAAAAGTATTGTCACTAAAGTCCTATAAGGATACTTTTTGATTGTGTCACTGCACCCTTATTGAGTTTTAGTGGCACTTTCTATTAAGACACTAAAACATTTATAGGTTTAATGGCTCAATTTTTATACCACTATTTAACTACTAAAATGAATATTTTTTTATTATTGTACTTACATTTTCTTACCACAAAAATTATATCAATAAATTAGGTCGGTTTTTTTAAATGGAATACAAATATAAAAAATTAAGATAATAAATGGAAAAAGACAACATCATTATTTAGATTAAAAGTTGACTTGTTTTACAACAATATTTAAAATACAAATATCTTCAAATTTTAATCAGTACAAATGATGTGCTAGTAACACTCAAAATATGAAACTATCAAACTAAATATTTAAAGAATAGGAAACTTGATTGTAGACGAACTTGGCATAATTGATTCTCTTCTTTATACCTTATGAACAATTGTCTACCATCTAACCATAATACATCACATAAAATATTAAAAACATGTGAGAATATCACCAATAAACATGATATACAAAAAGAAGCATATATTTATATGAGTTGAAAGTAATTACCATTGACATCAAGTAAACCTTAAATATGTTAACAAATATGTACAGAATAATAAAATAACTTCCAACAATGTAGGTTGTATTTACCTTAACAATCAAATGTACATGTGAACCTTTCTCCAATCATGATAGGTGAATCTCATTGATTGAAGATGATCCAACTGCATACATCTATAAATAAAAATAATAATTAAAACTTTTATTAATTTATTACCAATGAAAACAAACATATCTAAATTTACAAAAACAAGAACACTAAATAGGTAAAGTGGAAATACTATGGAATTATGCCATCTATATTATTTAAATAAGAAATTTATTTATTTTCTAACTTACCAACTATCATCAAGATGGAAACTGATTCAAATAATGATGGATTAATGTCAAATTAGTGTATTTCTTTTGGTAGAGTATTTGATTGTGCCTATTGTTCCTGCACCATATATATCAATTTTCCAACATTAAACTCATTAATATAATAATCCAAAAACCACAATGCATTAATAATGAAACCAAGACAAATTTTATTCAAATCCAAAATAAACTTTAATGATGTCATAAGAGAAGAAAGCACATGCTAGGAAAGACAGTTTATTGTAACTTTATATATTTATATATAAACACACCTTTTACTTATGTATCTTGAATTTTGGAATTTCATTATATTTTTTTGCCAGAATATGTTTAGGTAGTAAAAATGGCCACGATGTACATTAGCATCTTGAACCCTTTTAGCATCCTAAACCTTTTATTAAAACCTTGAATTTTGATAGCATCAGTACAATCCACTGTTTCAAGTTAACTGTGAAAGCACAAATTTATATCAAATTCATTGTAGCCATTACTTTCTTCTGGATTTGAAAGCTTCATATAAGTATGAACGTTGATCACCAAAATAGCCAAAATTTTAACTTAAACCCATAATCAAACAAAGATTTTCACTAAAACTTGCAGGACTTCAACTAAAAATATCCTTACCTATAAGGCTAATGAAACCACAAAATTTCCATTAAAATTAATTAGCCTTTAAGAAATGGAAGCAGACGTTGAATCCTAAAATCATAAAATTGTAGACATATATTGTAGAGAAAACTGAAGATAGCAGCTTGTTTTTCACCAAATCTCATATTATTGTTCGAACACTAATTGAATCCTAAAATCATAGACATATATTGTAGAGAAATCAGAAGGTGGCAGCTTCTTTTTCACCAAATTGAGGATTAGGATTCAAGAAACACATTCTTACCTCCATATTACAGTAGATAAGGGATACATAGTTTTGTGATTGAGTCGCTGAGAGAGAAGAAGATGCAAAAGATGGATAGGAGTCTGGGAATGGAAGTATAAAAGCGGATGTACAATTGATCGGTGATGGTATATTGGAAATAGCGTAAACTAGACCAGCTTCCCTAAATTCTTGATAAGGTTGTCAAACTCAAATTGAAAAAATCCAAAATTGGGCAGAAAGTTTTTATTATTAGCGGGATTTAGAAGCAACATTATAAAAATTAGAATTTTCAAGGTTATAGTGGCACAAAAATTATGTGTCACTAAAGACACTTACACTGGCACAAAAAAAAAATATGCCATTAAAAACTTGTATCAATAAATGTATTTTATTTGTAGTGATTTCTTCAAGTGTCTTGGAATACAAGCATCTGAAAATCCAATGGTTCTAATGATTTGTACTTAATCCCTAGTAATTAGAACATTTGAGGGGAGAGGAGATGGAGTTGGAATTTTGGTTATTCCATTAGTAGAAGTGATGTACAAAATGAGAAGCCAAGGGTCCTATTTATAGTTGAGACAAGGAACCTTAGAAATCCAAATTTGAATCTAATATTAATATTTCAAATTTGGTAATTATCCAACTTCTAACTATCCTTAAGGAATATTCCACGAACCCTAATTAGCCTCCTAAAAGTGTCCAAGGCTTAGGAAGGTTCGGGAATACCTTCTTGTTTAAGTATGGGACAATAACTTAAAAGGGTAATATATTTTCTGATTTGTACACAATTAGTCACTAACTTTTTTTTCCACATTTACCCCTTCAACTTGTTAAATTGTACACATTTAATCCTTATGACCGGCTACTCCAGGTTATCCAGTAAAAAAGACTTAATATGGTAATATATTTCTCACTTTGTACACATTTAGTCCTTAATATTTTTTTTTGTTGCAAAATAAGTAATTTTTGTTTTTGTACTTATTCAACACTTATAAACGATTTCTTTAGGTTTTTCTCACATCTTAAGTCGGATAGTCATATGGTGGCAAGATAGGTTGAGGTGGTCCTGCTATATGTTGTAGGCCAAGATACCTGGTGCAGATCGGTTGTAAGCTGTAGGCATGGAGGCTCGAGAAGAGCGGTTAGGTTAAGGCAACATGTCGACAAACCCTAGGTATTCCAGTCCAATGACTGATTGGCCCTGTTGTGTGTTGGCATTCCAGTCGATGACTGATTGGGCCAAGGTATTCCAATATGATGAGTGTGGGTCCGTTATGCATGATAATACGTTTGTTGTATAGGGTATTTTGGGGGAAACTTACTAAACTTTGTACTTACCCAGTTGTTTATGTTTTTAGATTATATCGTTGATCGTGGGAAGGCGAATACATGATCGTACACACTCATCAACAGTATTGAGGATTCTGCGTTTCTTATATTACTCTGATTTTCGATAAATTTTGGAATAAACGTTTTTTCTTAATAATAGATTTATAATTAGGGAGTTTTGTCTTATTTAAAAATGAAATTGGTTGTGAAAATGAGACGTTACATATAAACATTAGCAGCCGCACACACTTCATCAATGATTGTCCCATGTAAGATGTCGTGAGAAAAACCTAAAGAAATCATTCATGAGTACTGAATGAGTACAAATACAAAAATTACTTATTTTTAAACAAAAAAAATATATTAAGGACTAAATGTGTACAAAAATATTAAGGACTAAATGTGTACAAAATGAGAAATATATTACCCTATTAAGTCATTTTCCCGGCTAACCTGAAGTAACCGGTCATAAGGACTGAATGTGTACAATTTAACAAGTTCAAGGGGTAAATATGGACGAAAAAAATCAATGACTAAATGTGTACAAATCAAAAAATATATTACCCTTTTAAGTCATTATTCCTTTAAATATTGAAGAATTACAGCTTAAGTCCTTGCACTTTTAATTAAACCAATTAATCCCAAAATTAATTCTAATTAATTCTTAATTTAAAAAATACCATTGCTAATTTATATATTAATCTCATGATATATTAAAAAATTATTTATTTCTATTTGTTAATCATATAATAAATCAGTAAATCAACCTCGCTCTCTCTCTCTCTCTCTCTCTTTCTCTCTCTCTCTCTCTCTCTCTCTCTCTCTCTCTCTCTCTCTCTCTCTCTCTCCAAAATCATTCTAGTCAATTACTAGTTTTAAGGGCAACCCAAAAAGGAAATTGCTTTTAGTTCAAATATATACCAATTTAGGTATTGGTTTAGACACCTTAACCTAATAGTCTCCCACTTGGATAAGTCAGTAACTACAGTTGCAAGTACAACTTCTAAATTACACAGCAAAGTGTGTTTTCCGATGCAACTACCGAACTATGACCCAATCAGACATTGGCCCTAAGACAAGTGATCAAATATTCCTACGTTCTTTAAGATATCGTATTGACATGAGACATGGATTACAATCAATCTGTTGTCCAAAAAAAAATTTCCTGATTTGTGATGACGTCATTAGACTACTAACTTTACACATCAATTCAGTCTTTGTTGGGCCCATCACTATAATGTCAACACCAAATCACCGATGGGCCCAAAGATATTTGTTTTCCTATTAAGGAAAAAAGAACGAACTAACATTGACTTATATACTTGTATCTTTGACTTATATACTTGTATCTTATACTCTTCCTTATCTTCAAAATTATCAACAATTTGATATTGAGCAGAAATGAACATCATCTTGTTGATAAGAAAGTCCAACTGATTAAAATCAGTGTTTTTGATATCAAAGCTCTTTTTAGGAACTTTAGCAAATTCATGCATAACTCCATTGTAAACAGAGGCTTCAATTGTTTCATAGCTGTGATGTTTTGTTGGATCACCCTTATCAAGACCAGGAGGATCACCCTTATCAAATTCATGCATAACTACATTGTAAACAGAGGATCACTCTATCTTTGTCGATGAATACTTTGAAATTTTATTTGTTTCTCTATTTCCTTCTCTAAAGTAAGCTTCTTTTCTTCTGCAGTTGCTTCAGTCAAAATACCCTTTCCTTTTCCCTTCATTTCTTTTGTTGATGGAGATGGCTTCGAACTAGATCCACCAGCAGATGAACCAATTAAAACACATTTAGTTAAAGGCTTCGAAGTTGTGGTTGTTAAAGTAGTTGTTGTAGACATAGGAATTGTAATAGAAATTTGTATTGGCATAACCTTCCCAACAACTTTTCCATCATCTTCACTTTTAGATAAACCACTACCAACAAGCTTCGACGAAACCATACCAACACTTGATTTCATGCCAACACTCCTTTCTCCCTCTTGCACCTATGTGTGAACAGGTGGGGGATCAGTTAGCATTAGATAAACCACCTTCATAAGTGGGGCCAAATCAGCCTTGAGTGTGGACTCCAAAGACAAAAGCTTCTAACATAAAGAGTCTAAAGTAATCGAAGATTGTGTCGAAGACCCAAGTTTTGAAACTAACTCTGTCAAACTGCCTAAGAGTTCTTCCAACTTTTCAAAACTGTGAGTATCAGACTCAGACTTTGTATCAACTATGAGAAGTAAAGAAGTGTAAGATTCACCAACCTTAATCACAACAACAACAATAATATCCACTTTTGTGTGAAGAGATGAATAATTATAAGGAAGTTCTGCACATCTTTCGCCATATCAGAACAAATCTCCTCAAGCTTGAAATTAACATCATCTCTTACTTTCTTTATAGCTTCGACAAAAAAAAATGTGCCTTTATTTGGCAATTGCTCGTAAATCTTTGACTTTGTGACTAAACAAATCAAACTAAAATTTCAATTGTAACTCATTGTTCTTATCAATTCGATCGGACATATCTTTCAACCGAAGTTCCTGAGCCTTCAACAAAACATCTACTTCAATCCCAGATACGATATTTCGATTACCAGTATCAGCTTGAACTTATAACAAGGAATTGAGCTTCTGATTCAGAATTTTAAATTGTTTCCTAGACATGAGCATATGATCTGGAATGTTTTCTTCTTCTGGATCAAATTGGATATCATCAAATGAAACACAAACATCATCACCATCATCTGTGGTATCATCCAGAATGGATTTGGGTCCTTCAGTTGATTGAGAAGGAAATAATGAAGTAATAGGCTGATTCATGATGTTTGAATATGTAGGTGAGATAGTTGAAGCAGGTAAGGATGTAGGAATGGGTGAATCAAATGGTGGTAGCTAAGTGGAAGTATATATATATATATATATATATATATATATATATATATATATATATATGTGTGTGTGTGTGTGTGTGTGTGGTTTTGAAAGTAAAAGAGATGATAATGGAAACATGAACCATGGCAGTAGAAATATTTGAAACAGCATGGGCTTCGGAAGTCGACACCCCATCACCCATGTTGACATTTGTGTCCATATTAGATATGCCCATAGAGATGCTTGAAGTTCGAACCACCTCCATATTGGACATGGCAATCAAAACTTCCGATAGTATGACCGAAGTCTGCTCAAGGATGGATAAAACAAAATGTTCACCCAGATTAGTGATTGTGTCCACATTAGATGTTTCCACATTGGCAATAAGACTACTAGTCGCCTTGAAAGTCGACTTGACTGGTGAGTCCTTCTGTAATGAATCGAAGCCAATATCATTAGAACGAAGTGGAGATTGAGACTTATCACTATCTTCAAATTATGTCTCGACACCAACTTCGTCCAAATCACCATCCAGTTGTTTTCGCTTCTTTTTAATTTTCTTCACCATTTCATGAGCTCAACGCTTCTTCGAACCTGGAGAAACAGGAGTAGGAATTTCCCTAATAATCACCCCCTTAGGATTAATCTAGGTTTCCGAATTTTATTTATCTTTGAAGCAAACATTTATTTAGGAGAAGAAATAAACTACTCAGGAACAGATTTGATAATAGGCTGTCTTTCAGGAGAATGATGAGGCCTATGAGCCATTTTCTTCAACTTCTTTAGACCTCCAAATTTTGAAGGCACAACTTCCATCGCAGACTCTTTAGGATCTTGAACTTAAATTGTCTTTGTAACCTTCTTCAGAGTAGGAACATGATTAGTAACCTTCTTCAAAGTAGGAACAGGATTAGTAACCTTCTTCGAACCCTTACCACGTTTTGAAGTACCAGTAATTCCTTTTGGAAGAAGAACACCTATTTCGATAGAAGGATTTATGCTTTGAAGATAAGCCACTAGAACAGAATTGGTTGGATCAACTTTTCAAAGCATTGTATCTAGAACAAACTTCAAAATTATCCTCCACCGTCTTGGGATATTGATATAGAACAAACTTAGCCTTAGGAACATCATTGGGAACCAGGATACCCTCTTTTTGATACACATACCTCAAAATCTAACTCCAGTAATGGGCACAAGAAACACCCTTCACAACATTGGTGTGAGCAATACTCTTACCAAACTCTTGCCATAAATGAGTTGTAGAGTCCACTTGAAGATCATAATATAGACCAGCCACCATCGCATCCACTTCGACATTGGCTTTATCCAACCGTACACTTCGACTTGTCAAGCATCTAAGAAAAATACCAAAGAGAAGATTCCAAATGCAAGGTAAGGAATATTTCTTGAAATCACTGATCTTGGTAAGTGGAGGTTGATGTCCCATCTCATTGATCATATGAACAATTTGTTCATTTGTGACCTCATAGAACGGTTCAATATTGGGAATGTTCAGGATTTTGGTAAATTGCTTCATTGACAGTTTGTATTTCTTGTCATTTTCAAGTTGAAATGTAACCACCTTAGTTGTCTTGTTAAACAAAGCAGTTGAACCAACAACTGAAAACCATGTCATCGAAACAGAAAAAGAAGATGACACCACTATATATAAAACCGAGTGATTCAATGCCACAATCAGCATCTTCAACTCTTCAGGAAACTTGCTAACATCAGGTAGAACAACATAGCTGGTACTCTGAATCTTCAACAGAGGTTGAGATGTGGTATCATCGATGGTTTGAGAAGGATCAACATTCATATTTGTGGCCGCCATTGTTAGGGTTTGAAGCTTTGAGAATAAAAGGAAAGACAATTGGGGAAAACTTAAGTTTGATTGCGTAAAAAGTGAATGAAACATCCCTAATACCCTTTTATACATGAACCCCAATTTTGAATTTGAAGCGGTTATTCATTAAGATCATGCCACGTGTTTCCTTGAAAATAGGGCCAGTTACCACACCATTCGCCAGGCCTGAAAAGTGATGTGCACTTTTTCCTTAAAAACTGTGCAGCAACCGAACCGTTACATCAATCAATCGTTTCGCTTTCCCCGAGGAATAAGAACCGTCAATAACCCTTCAGCATGGAGGCTAGCCTCTTTCGTTGTTGGGTTGAGAAGCGAAGTCATTTGCCAGACTTTTAGAAATCGTCAGTCTAAGTTGGTATTACTCAGAATCTCAAGGATTTCAGTGTGTAACACTCGGTTTCGGATAAGCTCCGTTGTTTGGGGTTGTATCCCAGTCATTAGTTTTTGCAAGTCTTAGGGCTTCGGGAAAGGAAGTATTTAGCCCATTTCGTATGTGGGTGTCATGGTATAAGTGATCCAAGTATTCGATGGTGTCTCCAGAAGCCAAGGGTATAATGGTAATTTGATTTCTCGGTCTTATATGAATTTAGGGTGTTGTTCAGGAGCTTATAAGGCTCGGGTGTGTTGTTAGGATCGTAGGGCTTCTCACCGCCTTTTCGTGGATATATGGTTCGTTGGAAACAGGCCTAGGATGAGAGAGTTATGGTATTTTGAAGTTATTTACAATTTTGGTCCTTAATGGAAATAATTAGCAAGGAAGTCCCATGCATGCAAGGTAGCATGCGTATGAGTATGCCCAACGTAAGTTGGGGTACGCCCAACATAGTGTTGGATAAGTGAAACACAGGTTTGGGAGATGTACACCAGCGTACGTTTAGGATCCCTAAAACCCTAATTTTAAGGGTTGGATCACTATTTAAGCACCTTAATTCTAGGGTGTGCACGTCTCTTTCATCCTCTAGTGTCCTAAACCCTAAATCTCGAGTCATAGCTTCATCAAAGAGGGTTGTGTGCCTTATATGTGCATTTTTGGTAGATTTTAGTGTATTTAAAGAAGTGGTGTTTGGTACAAGGTGGTGGTTCAAGGAAAGGCTAGTGGATCTGAACTCTTTGCTACATTTTCAGCTCATTGAAGGTAAAAAGCTCTTAACTTCATCATTAGAAGTTGAGATCTATGATTATATGGTTTATGGTCTCATTTTGACCTCTTAAGTGAGATCTAGTGGTTGGACACCACTCTAGGAGCTTTGAGTTGCTACTTTTAGCATTATTTAGGTTATAATTCCATAAAGTTGCCATCTTTAAGGTTAGATATGGTCCATGCATGTTCTAGATGGATTAAGATGGGTATTATTGGGTTAAGTTGGCGATTGGGTCCCTTTGAGCCATGAATATGCATAAAGGTGCCGACTTTATGAATTAAGAGTTTCAGTTGGAGGTTTCCTGAAGTTTGGATAAAAAGTACTTAATGGGTTAAGTCGAAATCTAAGTTTAGAGAATCTACGGTTATGCCCCTTGGTTGCGATCTAGATTCCTCGAGTACAGCCAACGTAAGTTGAGCGTACGCCCCGTGTTCGTGGCTTTGTGGGACTTCGGGCTTGTTTCATGTTTGGGCTTCAAAATTGTGTTGGGTTTTATGAGTCAGGCTTTTTCGTCTGAGGGAATTAAGAGTCTTGGACTCTTGTTTGGGCATGTCTAGTTGGGCCAAGATTTTATATTGGGCCTTGGTGATCCCAATAGTTTTTGGCTTTAGTGGGCCCATTGGGCTTGGACCTTTGGTCCATCGAAGAATTATTTTTAGACTAAGAATTGTTGGGCTTTTGGGTAAGGCCCATATGGGGTTGGCTTAATTC